CGACAGTTGGAGGAGCTTGTATGGGGAGACTTTTTAAAGAAGGGTTAAAAAAATTTGATTCTACACGACATGACGCTTGACTCTCCGCCTGTCACACAGAGGTCGGTCTAATATCGTACACCTCACTCTCTTCACAGGTGGGAGGGTAAAAGGCAGAGATCTCACCTATAACTTTCCGTAGTGCTCCATGCGCTAATTTTCCATTAAGAACGACAGCGGTACGTTTCGTCTGCGCCGTGACTGGCAAGGCCCATCGACTTCAGCCCTCGTTCTGCATTGAGCGAATTAAGCGACCTAAAAAGTACCGCATGCTTTGTTGACGTGAACAAAAGTAAATCAGGTTCTATTCTCTATTCGTGCGTATAGTAGCGATCCTTGCAATTCTCCACCTCATTCTAGTGTAGAACGAAATAATACGTATAAGTAGTTGCGACTGCTCACAACTCGAAAAGCTTCTGAAAAAATGATGATCTATGAAAATGATTATCTAACAATCTACATTCATCGAAGTAAGGTCGAGCGCTATCGGTAGGTGGATGTGCAGTGAAGTAGAAGGAGTTTTCCACGAAACATTATAATTTGATCTCAAGAAGCCTACGAGACCGAGAAAAAGTGGACGGCGGATGGGAGGAAAGTCAACTGCTATCGACTGGTGGGGCCTGCACTGAAGGTGGGTAGCTCCAGTGCAAATACAAAAGTTCAGCCTGCCCGGAATCCAGAAGAAAGGATTTGAGACCGGCCTAAGTAGTAGGATTCATACCCCGACGATGGTCGGTGCCAGAGCTGAAGTTTTAGTCAATCTCTACTGAATCCTGTATCCAGGTGACGTGCACGTTAACACTCGGAGCAAAGCTTTTGTCAATACAACGACTCAAAGAACTCTAAGCGTATCAATGAAGATAAATGTGGCATACAAGCAAAAAAGCATCCACTACGTGGAGGGGGGAGGATGCGACGGCCAGGGGAGGTAGAGGGCGTAAGGATGACCCGGGGGTCCGAAGTTCACTTATCGACAATATTGACAATGCGATCAAACGATCCGGTCGCTCAACACTTGAAACTGAATTTTTTATTGAGAAAGTATGGAGGATACTTCGCCGAGACTGCCACTGTATGCTCGGCACTTTCTTCATGCTTGTTGTTGTTGTTCCTTGCTCCCGCTGCATTTCTTAAACGCATAGCTGTGCTGCAGTGAATTGCAAAGTTTCCGATCCTCCAATGATGGTACTTCCCAAAGTGAATGTTGTCTAAAGGGTCAACTTTACTGAG